CTAAAGCTATTTCTTAGGGTAACATCCTGCCCACATGTTAAGACAAATGGATGCAACTTCCAAGGAAAAAACAAGAGGTGGGTATTATTAACAGATAACACTACTGAGCAGCTTTTTACTCTGTAAAGCAACAAAGTCAGCAACACTAGCACTATGAGAACCTGAAGTCATCTGATTTGCTGAATTTAAAGGCCCTAAACTAATGAAACTGAGATCCTTGAGAGTTTGTTACATTGTACATAAACATGAAACAGAAGCAAATCGATATGTATATCTGTTTGCCAGAAAAGAGGGATTTGCTTTGTTTACTTAGGAAGACAAACTCCCCTGGTATTAAATGTAGATTAGCATTTTTGAAAATGTTTGCATGTTAAACTGAAATGTATGCTGAGTGTGTCCCAAAACTGTTCAGCACGGAGCATTTTGGTAAGATATCTGCAAGGCAGAGTCACAATAATAATGACTGACTCTATGATGCTAATACTGATTATAACAAGTATTTGTACATTATGAGAAGGCTTCCCAGGTATACTGTAAAGAACATAGACAATTCATGCCTATTATTGCCTACACTGGACAGGATCTAACCCACTTGGACTACAAAAGTAAAAACAGGCAGAAAACCCTGCAGGTGAAGGATAATTCTGTCATTAGTAAAAGCCATGGTAGAAATTAAACTTAGACACTCACTAACTGGCTGAAAGGTTTTCACCACTTGCTACCTTCCTGTCCTGGAGGTCCATGCTCTAAAAATTCCTGTAACTCTGCTGGGTGTAAGATAATGAATTCTGCTGTGATGTCTCTTACTGAGAGAAATCGAGTGTACTGAAGAACTCAAGCTCTGTTGAGGATGAATTCTCACATTTCTTTAAAACAGAATGAAAAACCATGCCAGATTTGCAACTAACAAAAGAAGTTAAAAACTGAACTCATCCAAGGGTATTCTGAGAAAGTCAAAACATACGAAGAAGCATTCATGCTGTAGACTCTTAAATGTGTACCTAAACTGAGTTTGACTTTCCAAAGGAAATGAAAACACACATTAAAAGACTGTTGGCTAAAGAAACAGGAATATTAGGAAATGATTGGAGGTGCAGGGAGGATCCAGTTGAAATAAAGTATCCAGGTAAGACAGAAAGAAAAACGAATGCTTTGCTTCAGTCTTCAGGGGAGCTGGGGGATGAATATCCCATACATCATGGTGTAGGGAAATCAAGGAACAACGTGCAAAACAAACTCAAAAAGCCTAACACCATAAACCCTTGAGGGAGCCATGCCAGAATTCTGAGAGAAACAGCACAGAGAATACCTATTCAGCAGAAAGAATCTTTAATCAATGCTTTAATGTGCTAAGAACAGCAATTTCAATACACACTCTCCACTTCTCACAAAATTAGAGAACTTGGGTTCCTCAGTCACTGCTTCCATGCACATAAGAATAGTAAGAGCATCTTGCATAGAGGATATGAACCCTTTGCCTTCTTCTTTGTCTCTGTAAAACCTGAATAGCTGCTCACTTGTTTTTCCTCCAAGAAGAACAAAGACTTCTGTGAAACTTTTGAATTGGTGACTTTGTTTCCACGGTTCTTGGTATAATTGTTAGGATGACTATTAGTGCTCTAGTTACCATCAGTTATTATTCTTTTGAAGTCATTCCTTTCCACTGAGTTTATACCCTAATGGGATATTGGTAGCTGTTATTTCAATCCAGCTGTCTCTTATTTTTTAACTAAAACCACCTTCATATAGAAGTTTTTCTAAAAGTTCTACCATTAATCTTAACATTCTGCAGCATTTAATGTCTATTGTCTCAAAACCCACTAACCTGTTTCCTTTTACTTTTCTACATATTTCACATGGCAGAATTGCCTTTAATTGTACTATTAAATCTAATCTATTTCTGTAACATAAATATCCTGATTAAAATGTTATCCAGATAATGTACAAATGCTCCTGTGCAAGATCGAACCCACAAAAGTCACTAAAACACAACAAAAATGAGATCCTTAGAGCAAAAAAATGACTGAGAACTGTGGATACCCTGGATCAACCACCTAGTTATTTCACATCGACAGCTGCCACTGCATCAAGAAGTCCTTTCAAGTGAACAATGAAAAGCATCTTAAGAGGAGCAGCACCCTGATGCTCCAGAGGCATTTCTATTACAGCTCAGCAGTACAACACACTATGTAGCTGCTCTCAAGTGCTGCCTCATACCTTGCAGGACTGCAATGAATGTTTTACATATCTTTAGTTAAGCTTGGACATTAAAATGCATAGCTGGTAATTTCAATTAACAATAGCATTGGGCAGCATTTTACAGTTAAGAATTCTATTTTTAAAAACATTCTTTCTGTGTAATTACATGTTTGAAATGCTTCCTGAGAAACTGATCTGGAGAATTTCTGCTTTTGCTGCCATGTTGAAAAATCACCCCTTGTGAATGAGTAGCCTCATCCATTTACATTTCCCAATTATTTTTGATCACCGAGTTCTCGCCCTGATTCAGCCTGGCAATCAATTCCCTGTAAGCAGCGAGGTGCCGTTCTCTGGCACCAGCAGCATGCTGGCCACAGAACATTTCATTTCCTCATTTTGGCTGCTACGCTAACAGGGCACGTCTGAGTAACCACCAGATCTACTAAAGCTTCTTCCAGGGAACTGGCATTGTCTGGAACGTGTCTAACTAGGAATGCAAACGCATCCTGACTCAGAGAATGAACGCCAGGCTTTGCTCAGCACTCTCTGTGCTGGCAGTCTCTATCTCTAAGGGATGCTGGAGTAGCTGACTAACATTTCACCAAACCTCAAAAAAACATTCCCATGGCTGTAGCTGAACAATGGTATTCATTAAGGAGAAAGCTCACATCCTTTCTAACAATTTTTAACTCTCCTGAGCTCTCATCAGGACTTGCAAAGCCAGGAAGATGGCCCTGACAGAATCCATCCTGTGACTACTGTCCCCTCGGGTACTGGGCAGTGCTCACGATTTCATGGGTGCACAGCTCAGGTACTGCACACTGGGCACGTCCTGGGCCTCGGGCCTGTTACAGCCTCCTCACATCTGAGGCTTTTCCCCTCATATTACCGTTCTGAGTGACTGTCCACATACACACACCCCTACAGAGCACTCGAAGGAAATACAGCTCCCTGCAGAGCTGTGTCTGCCTCCTCCGAGAACCTGACTGAAGCCATGTTACACTCCTCAGTGCATTTCCCAGTTCCCCAAAAGGCAAAACTCCAGAAGGAAATACACAGTCATGACCATGGAATTCAAGCCTAAGATGACTGGACATAAAGAAGACTCTTACCTCACTGAGAAACAGAAACAACTTTGTAACCTTAGAAGACCCAAGAGCCTCTGAGTCACTGAGGGAGGGATGAGAAGCACAGGCATTAAATGAAGCTTATCTAGAAAAAAATGAGAAGTCCTAATGCAAAGTTTTTAGCCTGTGCTCACTGACACAGGAACTGAACTGAAGAACTAACGAAGCATCACCCACAATTTGGTGTGTTTGGTTTGGACCTCTATGCAGCTCACAAACTCTTACTGCTATGGGACACACGCTGGATGTTTCAGGGTCTGTCTCTAGTATACAAGAGCTTCCTAACTCACAACTGCAGAAAGGATGATGCCTTGTAATCATTTTGCACATTTGAATTCCTACTTTGCCTTACACACTACAACATGTTAAGACTAATGTTCCTCACCTTAGAATGGCTTTGGTTGGAAGGGACCTTTAAAGGCCAGCGAGTCCAACACCCTGCAATGAGCAGGTCAGTTTGCTCAGAGCCCCCTGCAGCCCAGCCTGGAATGCTTCCAGGGACGGGCCTCTACTGCCTCGCTGGGCAACCTGTGCCAGTGTTTCACTGGCACTCACAATGTAATGAGTTTCTTCCTTTTATCCACCTAAATCTCTCCTCTTTCATTTAAAATCATTACCCCTTGCCCTATCACAACAGGTCCTACTAGAAAGCCTGTTCTCATCTTATTTATAAGCCCCTGTAAGCACCCAAGGGCTGCAGTACGGCCTCCACAGAGACTTCTCCAGCCCAAAGAGCCCCAGCTGTTCCTCGTGGGAGAGGTGCTCCATCCCTCCCATCACTTCTGTGCCTCCTCTGGACCCACTGCAACATTCCCTGTCCTTCCTGTGCTGGGAGCCCAGAGCTGGAGGAGCTCTGCAGGAGAGGTCTCACCGAAATGGAGCAGAGCAGCACACCCACCTCCCGTGACCTGCAGGTCAGGCTGGGCTGTGATGGGTTTTATTCACAAGAAAAGGAATCTGCTTCTTACTATGTTCTCAACTGCAAAGTCAGTGCAGAAGACAAACTTCGTTTGAAAAATCTATCTATATTGTTATTAATGCTTAATCTTATTTTAAAATGAAATTGCTGAACATACAGACACTGCAGCTCAGTTGTTTACCATTCTTTATGAAGATATTTAGGAGAAATTCTGCATCTGACAAAATTCTGGTTTAAATTTTAAAAACAAGCTGCTCTGATTCAGTTTCTGAACCTAAGGAAAACCACAAGCGTAAGTGCAGTGATTGTAATTGTGTAGCACAAAGAAATCAGGCTGAGTCTTCTGGTGCAAGGCTGACAGAACTTGATACAGGAACATCAGAATCATCTGGAAATACTCTCTCTCCTACATCCCACAGGATAAAGCTGAAGAACTACTACAAGATTTGGCTTTGTAGCTGCAAGTTAGTAATTAATAAAGTGAATGAAGCTCTTTACCAGCCAAACAAAACTACATATTTTTAAAGAAGTAAAGACATTTTAGTGCAACATTCTGATGTGGTACTCAATGCAGTTCTAGACTTCTGGAGTTACAATCACACATTTCACTGTAACCCAAATTTCCCAGGCCAGTTCAACCTGGATATGAGCTTGGGGACATTTATCACACACACAGTTCTGAATGCTCCCAAAGATGCCCTGACATCCTGACTTATCTCAGGCATCAGTATGAAAAGAACAAACTCCAAACTTACCCGAATCATCATGACAGAGCACCTGATGTTGTGAATCGTATCATACACCTTCTTGGAAATGTCAACAAACTGGTTGTCATCAAACAGATGCATTGTGTTCTTGCCTAAGCTCTCCAATGCAATATTTACTTGACTAATAAACTCTGGAATCACTATTAAAAAGAAAAACAAAACAAAATTCAGTAAGCAGAAAAGAACATGTATTTTTTTTTCTTTTTGGCAAAATGCCTGACATTGATAAAAACTTTATTTTCTGAAAAGCATTACAGTAATAGTGCAATCACTTTTAAGTAAGAATACATTTTTAGTTTTTATCACACTTATAATAAAATGCCCACAGTAAGCACATAAGCTGTGGGTGGTTGTACATTACTACAAAGAAGAAAGAAATTTTAAAAGGTGAGGTGGGGAAGCAGATGTGAAAATTTGTTGGTCATTTCAATAGCTATTTTACCCAAATAATCAGGATGAACAACCTGGTTTAAACTTGGAACCACTGCTGAACAGACTTCTACTATTTCCAACTCTGCTTTCAGTCTGAATGGAGATGTAACCAGCAGAAGATTGATGCTTATTCTCCAGATGAGGAGGGCCAACAGCTGTAACCCGAATTTACCAGGGCAATGTAGCTTGTTTGATTGAATCAAACAAACTGTGCATTTTGAGTCCGTCTGATTTTAACCTGTGCTTTACCCAGAATGGCCTGGGCATTTTCTTCTGATGCCCCAGGGCCCTACTCTGCACAGTGACCTGGCAGCACTGTATCTCCCTCAACCCTCCACACCAATCTGAAGCTAAGGAAACCTAGCACAGAATATGGAAGGAATGCAGATGGAAAATCAATCACACACACAGAAGGACCTCAAAAAAGCCCAGACCAATTAATTTCCTGTCACATGGAGTCTGAGGACATAGAAGAAACAAATGCAAAAGGATAAAACTCAACTTGTGTAATATTCAATAGGAGTAACAAACCTCATGGTACTAAAGCTCTCTCTCTGGCAATGTGTTGCTCCCAAACACTAATATTGTTTGTGTTCCACCCTCTACTCCACAATTCCACACTGTGCAATTCACAAATTCCTAACACATGAAAGCACTGCTACTACTAATACAATTAATGTGGAACATTCCAGGCAAATCTTGAAGTAAATAATAAATCTGTAGGCAGACAAAGCTTCAGCTGAAGACAACCAGATTTCTGAATTAGAAAACCTGGCAACTTAATACTTTAGTATTAAGTAGGAAAGGTGCCCCAATAATGCTTTCCTCCCTAACTTTGATTAGGAGACCCACATAGCCCTTGGAGACAGTTAAATTAATTCTCCAATTACAGTAACTTCACTGTCTTTGAGCTAACAACTGGTTGGCACTTAATTTGAAAAACAGGGTATTTAAAATAAGTGCTACCCTCTTCAGAATATCACTGGAATTGTATCACCTTTAAAAAGGTCAGTGGAAAGATTTATAATAGTACAGAAAAAATACAAGGTACATTTTTCACTTGCAATCACATAAAATAATTAAGGAGAACAAGTGCCTATTTATTGCTTAAAAAAAAAAAATAAAGTACCACCACTGAGTGAGAACTTTTCATCATTTTGTAATGGTTTTCTTTTTTGTTAAACAAAGACTTTGGCCTTTTTGTTAAACAAAGACTATCAAAATAATTCCAAGTGGAGCAACCCAGGCTGCACTTGACTACAGAACCACCACCTCAGGGCCCTCCTCTAGCAGCATTTCAGATGGGGCTTTGCAGCAACAGTACTTTTACACAGACAATTAAAACACAAGACTGCAGTTCTAAAACATGTACACACCAATGTGCTAATGAAGAGTGAAAATACACTTGGGCTATCAAACAGGCCTTATTTCCTGGTCATTTTCCCTGTAAGTGATAGGCTAACTCCCTCAAATCCAAGACTACTGGGATTTATATCAGTTTTGAGCTCCCACCCAATGGCAAAAAAAAAAAAAAAAAAAGCAAACGGACATCCAGAATACTTCATAGACCTCAAATAGGCAACTCTCTGAAATACTGTATTAGGTGGATTGAATTACACCAATAGTGTGCATTTTCCTGTTCTTTGCTTTATTTTTCTAGCCAGCCTATAGTAGAGAAGTGGATGCAACTGAGAACAGGTGGAAATTATTCATTTTTTCAGTCTTTCAAAAGAAAAATCAAACAAGTAAAATTAAAAATATCAAGTGTTAGACAGCTGAGAAGTACTAAATTTTTATGGGGATTTGTTTGTTTTATTTGTACGTTTTATTTCTGCTTTCTTTGTGTTCCATTTTGTTCCTCCTGCAACAAAAATTAAAAGCAAATTTCAATATGGGCATCTGTAATTCTGCCTTCCCTGAGGGGGAAGGTGCAGAAAGGAGGTTGTTTGGAAAATACCAATATGTTCATAAGCATAATGTTCAAAGTCCCGAAAGCAATTAAAGATTTCACACTATCAAAAACATATTACTGAAATTAACGTAATTTGCTTTAAAATTCATCAAGTGTTTCCTAATTCCTCTGGTTTTAAATAATACATTTTATCTTTCCTTGTAAGCGCGTCTTCTTAGTCCTCTAATGTTTTTGCTTGATTTTGTAATCTTCAATCAAAACCAACTAATGAACCAGTCTGTAGTTTAATAGCTGTCAGGGCCCAGCTCTTCCCACAGAAAACTAAACTTCAGTAACCCCTTTATTTCAATTAGCAACTCAGTGCCTGTTATATTTAACAATAAAATGATCAGGAAAACAGATGCTCAGCTTTGCAGAAGGCCACAGCCAACAGCTGAGAGCACTGTGCTGGTACCTTTTAATTCAGCTGTGTTAAGTGATTACCACCACTCCAGCCACCACCAAAGCAGCTTGCAGTGAAAAACCAACAGGCTGCAAAGCCAAACTGTCCACATGTGTCCAACACTCACCTAAAGAGTGTCTTAACAAAACAAACACACCTGACCAGACACCAACAGTCACCAACTCCTAGAAATGACCAGAAAAAAATTTACTTCTTTTTTTTAATTCAAAATCTCTACGGTTCTTCACTCAGGGGGAAAAGGGAAGAAACTAGCAAACCCACAATTTATCTCAAGACAAAGCATTTGTGGTAAATAACCGAAGTTTCCCTTCAGTGTTTATCCGCACGTACAAAGACTCGGAGCCACTCCGGCAGTGGTGCCAGCAGAGTGGGAAAAGGCTGGAGAGCTCCCACTGGAACAAAGACTGAAGAACTGCTCCTTCAAAGGCAGCTTTGAAATGGAAGTGAGAGCACAGGCAGCGACTGAAGCTCTCTGTGGCACAGCTTCAGAGCCCAGCTACACACACTGCGACCCAGCCACAGCTTTGGCTTAACTCCAGTGGCCTTTCAACATAGGGGACTGCTCTCTTGGGATTCAGCCACCTGCAGACATCTTCTGTGCCCAAACAAAAGCCATTAAAAAAAAATCATTTAAAAAAATAAATTTGGGCAAGCTGGAGTGAAAAAATGGTTCTCCTTCTGAAGGTAAGGAAGTCATGAATTAGGACTCTAAGAGGAGGGAAACTTGCAAAAACCTACCTGAAGTACAGCCAAGTAAGGCCTAAAAAGCTGCTGGATGAATTTAATATGAAACTAGTATGATAGCAGAGCACTGAAATAAAGCAGATGTGCAGGCAGGCAAGCTGAAAGAGGTGTGTGCAATCCAGCCCTCTGCCAGGGCACAGGTGTGGCAGCATCAGAGGTGACTTGACACAAGAGGCATGTACCCCAAGTACTTCATTACTGCCCCATAACCTGATCACCTAGCATGAAAGTCAGCGTGATGGGTGGGTACAGGTTGCTTACAGAGAATTTATGCAGCTTTCCAGTTGCAAAAATTCAGAGGAAGTAAAGAGAAGTATGGCTGTAAAGATTAAAAACACAGCCACCTGTTAAATGCAAGGTAATACTAGAGAAAGGTAAGAAATCTAGTTAACAGCGACACAGCCTTTATTCAGTACTTCTTTATTTAATTACACTCTTTGGGATCAAATAATAGTTTGCACTTCCTGTGATTAAAAAATAAGCATTTGTAAATTTCTTCTTGAAAGGTAACTAGGAATTTCAGATGGTAAGAACACTGCCTATTCCAGTAAGCCAATTTTACTGCTTGTCTCCTATGTCACTGCAATCCATAAGGGTATATAAAAAATTAAAAAATAAAACCCATCTAAGCTGAGACAACTGTACTGGCTAAGGGATACCATGTGAAATGAAAGGGATCTACTGGCAGCAGCCTGAGTCACAGCACCCACCATGCAATTCAGAATGGAACAGATTGTTTCAGTGACTGATGGAGATAGCTTCATTAGAGGTGTTCAAAATACATTGAAATAATAATGGAATTACTGCAAAAAGAAGAGTACTGTGCACTCACTGCAAAAAGTTGAGCTGAATAACACAAGCAGGTTTTGAAACTCCAACCATTTGTGACTCTTAAAAATCCACATAATGCAGTCCTAAAATGAAGATGAAGCTGCTTCTGAAGCTAATTTCACTATGGTACAGACCCTTAATTGAAGCCTCTATTTCTGTGATACCATGTTAAATTGGTAACTTTTTACTATGCCACTATATCCAATGGCTAAGAGATATATTTACATATATCTACATATATATGAATATGAATGAAGCAGAATTAAATTGGTAACTTTTTACTATGCCAATATATCCAATGGCTTTCTAAGAGATACATTTACATATATCTACATATATATGAATATGAATGAAGCAGAAGAGCTTTGTGACTATAGGTATTTGATATACCTCTTATATTAGCATTCACCTTACTTGGTAACAAGCTTACAGGTTTTATGCAGAAAAAGATATGAACTATTTGTGGAACTTCCAACACCTGAAAGAGCTGATATTCCTCTGGTAGTTTCAATTCTAGGCCAGTGTATGAGAGGCATGATCTCAGAATCCCCCACTGTCCCCTCCTTGACTATTTAGAGCGTAAAGATCTATAAATTATCCTAATGGAATTTGGTATCTCATGCCAAAGTTTCTGCGTAGTAACAGTGTAATACAACCTGAAGTAGCCCAGGCAGAGGCCTGATGCACATAAAAAGTTTCCTAACAAAAGCAAGCTGTAATCAGTATCTGCTTCTGTAACTCAGACCTGTGCCTGCTGC